AGAGAGAAACAGACAGAGAGAAACAGAGAGAGAGAGAAACAGAGAGAGAGAAGAGACAGAGAGAAACAGAGAAACAGAGAGAGAAACAGAGAGAGAAACAGAGAGAGAAACAGAGAGAGAAACAGAGAGAGAGAAACAGAGAGAAGAGAAAGAGAGAGAGAGACAGACAGAGAGAAACAGAGAGAGAAACAGAGAGAAAACAGACAGAGAGAAACAGAGAGAGAAAAACGAGAGAGAAACAGACAGAGAGAAACAGAGAGAGAGAGAAACAACAGAGAGAAACAGAGAGAAACAAGAGAGACAGAGAGAGAGAAACAGAGAGAGAGAGAAACAGAGAGAAACAGAGAGAGAGAACAGAGAGAGAAACAGAGAGAGAGAAAACAGAGAGAGAAACAGAGAGAGAGAAACAGAGAGAAACAGAGAGAGAAACAGAGAGAGAAACAGAGAGAGAAACAGAGAGAGAGAGAAACAGAGAGAGAGAGAGAGAGAAAACAGAGAGGAGAAACAGAGAGAGAGAAACAGAGAGAGAGAGAGAGAGAAACAGAGAGAGAGAAACAGAGAGAGAGAGAGAGAAACAGAGAGAAACAGAGAGAGAGAAACAGAGAGAAACAGAGAGAGAGAAACAGAGAGAGAGAAACAGAGAGAAACAGAGAGAGAGAGAGAACGAGAGAGAGAGAGACAACAGAGAGAAACAGAGAGAGAAACAGAGAGAGAGAAACAGAGAGAGAGAAACAACAGAGAGAGAGAAACAACAGAGAGAAACAGAGAGAGAGAAACAACAGAGAGAGAAACAGAGAGAGAGAAACAGAGAGAGAGAACAGAGAGAGAAACAGAGAGAGAGAGAGAAACAGAGAGAGAGAAACAGAGAGAGAGACAGACAGAGAGAAACAGAGAGAGAAACAGAGAGAACAGAGAGAAACAGAGAGAGAAACAGAGAGAGAGAGAGAGAGAAACAGAGAGAGAGAGAAACAGAGAGAGAGAGAGAGAAACAGAGAGAGAAACAGAGAGAGAAAACAGACAGAGAGAAACAGAGAGAGAGAAACAGAGAGAGAAACAGAGAGAGAAACAGAGAGAGAAACAAGAGAGAAACAGAGAGAGAAACAGAGAGAGAGAGAAACAGAGAAACAGAGAGAGAGAAACAGAGAGAGACAGAACGAGAGAGAAACAGAGAGAGAGAAACAGAGAGAGAGAAACGAGAGAGAGAGAGAAACAGAGAGAGAAAACAGAGAGAGAGAAACAGAGAGAGAGAAACAGAGAGAAACAGAGAGAGAAACAGAGAGAGAGAAACAGAGAGAGAAACGAAACAGAGAAACGAGAGAGAAACAGAGAGAGAAACAGAGAGAGAAACAGAGAGAGAGAAACAGAGAGAGAGAGAAACAGAGAGAAACAGAGAGAGAAACAGAGAGAGAGAGAGAAAACAGAGAGAGAGAAACAGAGAGAGAAACAGAGAGAGAGAAACAGAGAGAGAGAAACGAGAGAGAGAGAGAAAACAGAGAGAGAAACAGAGAGAGAAACAGAGAGAGAAACAGAGAGAGAAACAGAGAGGGAGAGATAGTTCCACTGTGGAGGCGTCACAGTCTCCTTATTAATGAGAAATACTGGGAGATATTTTCTGTCATTCATCCATTTCACTTAAAATAAATGAAATATTGGGTCACACTTTAATAATAATAATTACACATCATGAACAAAGATTTTATTCATAATCAAGAAATAGTTTATTAAGAATTATTCTGGCTCAGTAACAAACCCCAAACCCTCAGTATAAATAATTCTTAATAAATGATTAGTTCATTATAAGTTAAATTTTAGTTCATGTTTATTCAGGATAATTAAGGTGTAATTATTATTAAAGTGGCAGTAAATATTCCTTTTCTTTTACTGTGACAAATGAAGCAGCGACTAAACCTGTGATTATTATGAATTAAGTCTTTGTTCATGTTTTATTAAGGATAATAAAGTGTAATTATTATTATGAAGTGTTATCCAATATTTAATTTAATTTAAGTGAAATGTGAATAAAAGAAGGTATTAAACTGGGCACAAAAAATCAAGGTTTAGAGCGACATAAAAGTCTAAATGTTGCCAACATTTGTGCCACACAGAAAAACATTTAAGTAATAATTATATTTTTAAAATGTGCTGTTTGAGGGAAAAATTTAATCAAATTTTTGCCCCATTATTTCAGATTTAAATGGCCCCTGTCTCATTTGTACTGGACATTGGACGTTGGAGACGTTGGACGTTGGACGTTGGACGTTGGAGGTTGGAGGCTGGAGGTTGGAGGTTGGAGGTTGGACGTTGGAGGTTGGAGGTTGGAGGTTGGAGGTTGGAGGTGGAGGTTGGAGGTTGGAGGTTGGAGGTTGGAGGTTGGAGGTTGGAGGTTGGAGGTTGGAGGTTGGAGGTTGGAGGTTGGAGGTTGGAGGTTGGAGGGTGTGTGTGGAGCTGTGGAGGCCTGTGTGGAGCTTCTGGACCTGCTCCAGTGAGTAGACGTCTTCTGCTCCGGGGGGCATTTCCACTCCAGCCTCTCTAAAGATCTTCCTGGCTCCAGACTTGGTCCCGTACAGCTGCGCGACGCCAGGCTCCGTGCCCATCAGCGGGACGCCCAGCTCGTCCGCCACGGCCAGGTCGTCCACGTGCGCCGCCCCGGGGACCAGGTACGCCCGCTTCCCCTGCACCAGGAGGCGGATCCTGCGCAGCGTCCGAGGGCTGTACTTGAGCAGAGACGACAGACACATGCTGTGGACCAGGAGAGACCAGGAGACACTGAGAGACCAGGAGAGACGAGGAGAGACCAGGAGAGACCAGGAGAGACCAGGAGAGACCAGGAGAGACCAGGAGAGACCAGGAGACCAGGAGAGACCAGGAGAGACCAGGAGAGACCAGGAGAGACCAGGAGAGACCAGAGAGACCAGGAGAGAGAGAGAGACCAGAAGAGACCAGAAGAGACCAGAAGAGACCAGGAGAGACCAGGAGAGACCAGAGAGAAGAGACCAGGAGAGACCAGGAGAGACCAGGAGAGACCAGGAGAGACCAGGAGAGACCAGGAAGAGACCAGAGAGACCAGGAGAGACCAGAAGAGACCAGAAGAGACCAGACCAGGAGAGACCAGGAGAGACCAGGAGAGACCAGGAGAGACCAGGAGAGACCAGAAGAGACCAGGAGAGACCAGGAGAGACCAGGAGAGACCAGGAGAGACCAGACAATGACTTTAGAGCAGGTCTGCACATGTCTGAGCAAAAGTCATTATTATTAGATTTTCAATTCATGTTTTTCTAAATCAGTGTTCTGTTCACAGTGAAGCTTTCAGACGAGAAGCGGCTGTGAGGGTTAAAATAATCACATCCCAGATAAGACACAATATACACGGCAAATACACGCTGCAAACACACACTACACACTGAATCAAACATAGATACTCATTTGTTTATCAATAGTGAAATAAATGTACATGAAGAGGACAGAATCAGACTGTTCCTGAGTCTGGTTCCTGTGTTTTTGTCTGAGGATGGTGCAGGGCCACATGGGAATATTAAAGAAGCTACAATTATTTTATATTAAACTGCACATTTTATTGTTTAAGAAATTGTGTTTTTTATATTTGTGATTTGAGATGAAAACATTTTCTTGGTATCAGAACTGAGTTTAGATTTATTTGCATTGTGACAGCGCGACCAGAGCTACTGACGCTTGAAATATGAACAAGAAAATGAACAGAGTCCGGTGCATTTCAGAAACATGTTCTGAAGGAAAATAAAATCTCAAATACAGAAGAATCTAATTATATTTTCCACAAATAGAGTGGATATTTGAGCAGAGGACGTCCTGTTTCCAAAATAATTGACTTTGTGATTTCATAATTTCTATAATTCAAAAGTAAATTTCAGCAGTGATGATACTGACCCGAGAGCCCAACACGAGCTCAGTGTGTGTGATTTACAGTGTGTGTGTGATGTATGTGTGTGTACGGCCGAGGGGAGGTTGTGTGTGGACACTGTGTGGACACAGGTTGTGTGTGGACACAGGTTGTGTGTACATGTCGGGTGGAGGTTGTGTGTAGACGTTGGTCGGAGGCGGCGGCGGCGGCGCCAGCGGGGATGTGACCTCTGCAGGTGGGATTGATAAGAGGCGCCTGTGGGACGCGGCTCGATCCTTCACTCTTTAATGTGAGCTTCAACGAGCTCCTTGGGAATACAACTAATTACTCCACATCTGTATTTATTTGATCCACATGGAATTATCCTTCTGTCACTGCCGCAGAGCGCTGCCAGCCACAGGAGCAGCCATTCATCTCTGCAACACGTCTGGCTCATTTGAACAAGCGAACAGCAGGAAAATCTATATCTGCAAATGAGACGAGCGCGTGGAGCCGAGCCGCAATTTACAGCAAAGGAAAAACTGTTTTAACATAAAGAGAAGACACAACAATACTCCACAGAATGAACGTCATGTAGGATTATGTCCAAACGGCACGAGCACACAGCCACAAGTAATCTACTCTACTGCCCCCTAGAGGCGCTTTTACGCACTGCACCTGTATCTGTGATCAGAAAACACACGTTTAAAATGTGCTGTATGTAAAATAAACTATTAAAACTCAACTGGAAAGTAGTCAACAGCCTCCGGAGTGAGGATGATGAAGCGTCTGGTGGAGAGGGAAGTGTCGGGGGTCTTGGAGGTGCTCGTCTCTGGGGCTCTGTCACACTTTAACAGACTGGAGTAAAACTGCAGCACATCTTCATCCAGACGCAGCGGACGCACGTAGATCAACTCCACATTTTCATCTAAGAACAACACAAACAAACAAAACACAAGTGACTTAAAACAAACACAACAGTAAAGAGTTTTATGTTTTTCTGATGATTATTTTGTTGGTGTTTTCATAGATTTTTATTTGTGTAAATTATTATTGTTATATAAATAGTTGCTTGTTAACAATTTTAGAATTACCTCTACGTCTCCAAAAAAATGATAAACGTGACCAAAATAGAGAAGTAAGA